TTTTTTTTTTTTTTTTTTTTTTTTTTACTTCAGCTGAAGTGAGATACTTTCGGCATCAGACTTAGTAACACTAACACACGCACCCATGCATGTTGAACGGTGTTTCTGATCCAAATGAAGATCATATCCATTAGATGGAGAGAATTACCTCAAACCTATGGATACGAGGGCTTGCACCTACTTTAAGAAAAGATGAAATGCCATAATCCTGATATTAATAGAGTAGGTAAGAAACAGATCAGCAAATGATCAAACCAGAATCAAGCAGCATAAAATTAAAAAGAGGCATCAAATGGCAGAAAAAAAGTGTCGTAAAATTACTTTTTTTTTTTTTTTATCCTCAAAGTAAACCATAAGTAACCAGGGTAACTCCAGAAAAGTAATTAAGATATTATCCAAGTAGCTCTTAAAAGTCTTCTTTGGGTCGGTAGTAGTTGGGAAGATAAAAAGAGTACCTTAAGCTTCTGTAGATAACCATCAAGTTCAATATGGATGCCACCTTTCACTGTGGTATTTTCTGAAGAAAAGAGTTGCTCCTCGCCGGAATCCTCACCAACTAAGGCTTCCTGTTGAGTATAAGTTACAATTTGAGTCCTGTCCCGAAAGTGTTTGTCCAAAACAGTGTACAAAAGAAAACAGCATAATATAAGGTTCTTAACGGGTAGTAAGTACTCAAATTCTGTAAACATGATCCAATGTGGCAGTGGACTGCACCGGGTAGAAAACAGTTATATGAATGAGCTACATATGTGAAAGCGTCACAAAAGAATATAACTCAGTTCAAAATTTACAGATCAAAAATTTTGAAAACCTTATTCATACGTGATATGAGGATGTAAAAACAAAAAACAAAAAACAAATAGAAGGTTTAAACTACAGAGGCCATTGAAGATGACCAAAATGTTAACCAAGTGTCATGGGTTTAATCCCCACAACGGCATCAAAATTTATTTCATTGAAGTTTACCAAAATGCTGTAATCAACCTGGCAATGAATTATAAACTGATATAAATCTTCAAATATCATAAATGTGTGCAAGATTACAAACAAGAAAATAAATCATAAGTTCATAAATGAATGCCTTCAAATTAAATTTAGAGCAGTGTCCAAAATCATGTTTAATGTGATAGGCACTCAAAAATCAATAGATTGCTATATATATATCTGAAATTAAAGAGATCAATTGAAATATAGAAATGCCAAGCAGACATGTACTTTCTTTCACCATATTGTCAATTTGAGATGCGCTCAATAGTGCTCGCTGGTGCCAATAATAATAATAATAATAAAGCCTGACAAGAACATCAAGGGAAAGGACCAACACATGCTATTTATTGAAACATAGTCGAAAGATTGCAATATAGGATCATCATGGAAGAGTACCAATAACAATTTCTTATGTTGTTTTCTTTGAGGAAGAATTCCGATAGCATCCAGCATTGACTCATCCAGTTCTGCAAATATATTGAGATGCATTATAAGATCAGAAAAAATGGAGTTTAGGAAGCTGAATATCTGCGCTGATCTGACCTTTGGTTTGCAATAGTGTAGCCAGAACGCTTAAAGCACCCAAGACTTGCACATCGTCCCCAATTGTAATATGAGAAAGCAAAGCTTCCCTGCCAAAGCATACATGTTGGATTATTTAGGAATACTATATTCTGACACGTCTGAAGTATTATTTAGACCAATATTCATTTACTATTGAGTATATATATTATCCGGAGTCAACCTGCCTCCCACTGAAGGGAAAGAAGAAAAGAAAAGAGATTGAATCAGAACAATAGTTGAATTTGGAGTTTTTAACAATTGCAAGAACCACTATAGAAAATAGAAATTGGAAGTTTCAGATTGAAACCCTATCTCGCATGCACAAAAGAAAGAAAACAATAGATATAAGATCAGAAATTATTATCAAGGATCAAAAGCTGGTATTTACAAATAGCTGATAGATAAATTATTAGGAAACCAAGTTACCAAGTAAGTCTTCAAATATAACAAGTAAATAGTACATCATTCTCAGAAGTTTAGATACTGTTGACGTTTGTGTTATCGGAAGTGTGTTGCCTCAAAGCAGCCAGCATTTCAGTGAAGGTCATAGTTGATAATTTGGTTGAAGGGTTTTAAAGATATAAACAGTAAAATGGGGAAACAGGAGCAGTCACTCCCAAAAGCTCCCTCAATTGCTTGGAAAGGCTAATTCAACTATAGTAGATGTAATTCTCAAATTCGGTCTCTTTGAAAGGTGTATTGACGCAAGGACACCAAATTCAGATTGCTTGGAAAGACCAAAGAACTACAGACTTCTTTGAATTATTGGGATCAAAGCTGTATCGTCAGAATTATGGTTGGAAAGGAATTAGAGACTTTTGCAAGCCAAATCCCTCTCGTGGTTGGTTTGTTTGGATTCAGAATGTTTTAAGGCTTATGCTAGGTGTTCTTTCCCAATCATTTTGATGATTTCTCTCTAAATGTTGTTTGTTATAATTGGATATGCTTCCATTCTTCCTTTAGAAGCGTTGTTTGGGTTTTTTCTTTTTTTTTTTTTTTTTTTTTATGTTCTTCTTT